ATATATATATATATATATATATATATATATATATATATATATATATATATATATATATATATAATCTATCTATCTATCTATCTATCTATCTATCTATCTATCATCTATCTATCTATCTATCTATCTATCTATCTATCTATTTATCTATCTATCCTTTTCATATTTTTCTTTCTTTTCATTCCTCCTTTTCTTCCTTTGCACTTTTTGCTTTTGGTTTTTTTTTGTATTTTTATGAATTATTAGTTTTTTATCTTTATGTTTTTTTTAAAAAAAATATGTGACTCTGCATTGGATAAAACTCACACAGGATTCATATGCTTCCCAAAATAAAATAAATCTTTTATAGTATTAATAGAAAAATAAAATATAGAATATCTAGGACTACATAGCAAGCCACTCTCTGGTGGGAAAAAAGGTAATCTGACTAATGCTAAATAAGAGTAGTTCCCTTTAAATGGGTATAAAATTATAGTTTGGCACATCTGTCAAAATTAGAGATAAGCAATAAAAGATCTCTGGTATCACCACATTTGATGAAAAAGAACTTAGTTGGGAATTATTTTGGAAATTACTTTCCAATGAAATTTTCAGCCAAATGCCATTGATGTAGTATGATTTTCTAGTACGTACTCGGTTGCCAGGGGGAAAGATCCATGTACAATCATGTCTTCAGCAGTTTTCCACCTCACACTTTTATTGAATCCCAAGGGAATGCAGCAGGGTGGAAATCTCCCCGTGAGTCTTTTTCCCGTGTGAGATTGAAAAATGTGCAACCATAAACATCAACATCAGCACTAGAATTTTTTGCCATCTCCAACAACAAAGAGGTTTTAAAAAGATACCAAGGAAAATGAAAAAGGCATTCACAAGCTCTCTATGCTCAAATGTAACTGTTTCTCCATCCCTAGAAATTGCAGATACCATGCTCTGTCCCTATCTCAGGGCTGGTATAATTTTGGAGACCTTTTTGATGACATCCATGAAGAATAAGAAAGCTTTAGAGATCTGCAGCTCCGCAAGTTGCCTTTGTAAAAAGCCTCTGCTACTCTTCAAGGAGATTAAACCTACAGAAACAGTCAAGGATAATAAAGATAGGTTCTTTTGGATTTTTTCCTGCCCTTTTTGTTTCAAGGAATGGAAAGAATTTTGGAAGTGGTATGAGGAAAGATAATGCTTCTTGTATACCCATTTAACTCTTATTGCTACTGCCTTGTGTTTTTCTTCCTACCTTGCTGTCCTAGGTAGCACAAGATTACGTCCTTTAAAGTTTAGCTTTCAAATGGGACTTTATTAGACTACCAGCCCAGGCAAATTTTATCAGTGTAATGTGTTTAATTCCTTGCCATGAAAGTCATGTTCTTTGAAAAATAATGAGGCTATAATAACTAGTTGTAAATGGGTGTTAAAAGCCAGATATTCAAGAGATTTCCAGTATGTGAAAAAAACCCCAACAACAGATGTCCAATTTGGCATTTATGTCACATTTTAAACTGATGTCAGATTATGATTATTTCCATAAGATTTTATGTTTATTTGACATCCTTGTGTCCATTTAGTGAAAAAATTAATTGGCTCACTTACTTGCTAGACATGTGCTCAAAGTACAGCATTGGTTCATGTGATGTGATCAGATATTCAAGCAATTCCATTTTACACTTACATCACAGAATAATTATTGCTCTGGAAACTGAAGGTTTATACAGATTCTCATGTGTTCTGATATCATACTGTATACTTATGATTGGGAAAACACAAAACAAAGGCACATGTGAGTTTTTAGGATAGCAATGTAAATAAATAGATTAAATCCTGATACTGCAATATCCATGCTCTTATCAGTTTATACAATATTCTGAAGAACGTACATATACATTCCTATATATGAATACATGTTTTATAGATAATTAAGAGACTATTTAGAAATGTGGGTTGCATATACTAATTATTACATTAGATGCCTCATTTTTTCTTATTAAATATACTGACCTAAACATTCAAGGATAAGAAACATATATTCTTTTGGAATTTTTTTTCTGTTTTAAGGAATGGAAAGAGGTTTGGAAGTGGGATGAAGAGAAGTAAAGCTTCTATATTTATGTAACTCTTATTGCTACTGTCTTGTGTTTTTCTTATGTTTATTCTATGAAATACTTCATTCCTAAGCTTCATCATCATCATCATCATCATCATCATCATCATCATCATCATCATCATCATTAATAGCCTTCCCTTCTTGTTAGGAAGTAGTTAGGTCTTATGATGTGATGAAACTTAATCCTTTGCTTCAGTGTTTTAATTACAAGCAAATTTACAACAAAAATTCTAAATATTTTCTTTCAATCTGAAATAAAATGGTATGATTCAAATCTCGACGACTACCTTTAATGTTAGGTAATTTAAGACATCATTTAGTATGATTAAAAGGTATCTAATTCTACATCTTTCTAAGTGCTATCAACTGTTAAGAGAACCACAGTAGTAAGAAAAACTGAATTCACATTATCGACTAAAAAGCCAAACTTTTATTATTAATTAAGCAAGGAGGAATAGAGTGAAATCTACCAATCTCTTGATTTTATCTATTCAATTATGAAAATATTGATTAGTGTTGTGAAGACTGAAGACGTGAGTTGTATCAAGGATTTGGGAGGTGGCTTCCTTAGGCACTCACCAGTTTACCATCTTATAAGCAAAGCATAAGCAAGCTTTTTCTCTTTGATTGTTCCATTGGGAATCTTTGCATGGTATTTATTTACAATTTCAAAAACATTTTCTTTGGGATTTTCTGAACATTTCAGAAAGGAATTCTGATTTACACTAAACAGCAGGCATTGAAACCATTATACAAAATTTATTTCATGCTAGAATTATTTTGCATAACATTGCGCATGCATTTTATTCAGAATCCTAAATTGCATACAATGCCATTTTGTTGTTTCTTGAAACTCAGAGATAAGTTTATATCGAAGTAGTTTCCTGATTTGTATATTGTAAATCCCCAGGTGTTGCTGTTGTTGCTTTAAAAAAAACCCAATGTTGGTTCCTTTTTTGGTTGAATTCTTTACTGATCACTTAATATAAACAATTTGTCATAAAGGGTCTTCACACTGGATCTATACACCAATAAAGTACAGAGCTGGAAAATTAGTTTAGACCAGCTATTTCCATCAGGATCAAAAACTGGTCCCAGATTTCACAAGCATGCCAACAAAAACAGACAAGAAAAGAAGATTGTTTGTACATTTTACACAAGTCTAGTTGGATGAAAAGTTCTTGGGCTTCATTGTTCTGCATGATGAATTTATGAAGGCATGGTCAATGTGACTGCCAATTGCACTTTTTAAACCATCCACCCTTGTGATCATGTATACAAATAAACAATCCATTGCAAAGGAATGTACGGCTTTAGAATATCTTTTACAGTTTGCTACTACAACATATGTAAAAGTAAAGAGCTTTGAAGGAAAATATATTACTTTATCTCCCCCCGCCCCCCCAAAACACCCCCTTAATAGTAAAATAAGTTAACTTGTACAATCTCAGGGGTTTTCTTTTTCTTTTTCATGCAATTCATGCTATGAAACAACAACGGAAAAAATCTGTCATTTGATACATTCTGGCCATAGAGAAATCCTGCACGTCTCCCTGTTTGAAACCACATATATCATCCTGCAAACTTGCATGGAGGGAGATTACATTTGTCCAAAGAAGAGGTCTTCTATGCCTGCACAGTTCCACCCAGACGTTTATAAGCCATCATTGTCCATCTCGTTTTCTCCATGTCAAGTCACTTTGACTGCCTCTGTTGGCATATATTTAGCAATGACAGGACTTTCTTTGCAAAGATCTGCATGTAAAGAATATAATCAATACTTGAGCTTCTCTCCTGTGCTTTTCAAACCAAGCTGGGTGTTTTATAGCAAGGAGGATAAAGGAGAAAGAGCTACATGCAGAGGCAGCCAATTTTCTTCCCCGCCAATATGTATTTTTTTCCCATGCAGTCAGCCAGCCAGCTAGAGACCTCTCTACAGTGTATCTTATTGCTTTCAACATAGAAGAGACACCATGCAAAGTTTTGTCCTACTGCTTGTACTTTGCTCACACTCTTGTAAGGTTCCTATGGCTCAACAATATCCTGAGAAAAGCAAAAATCTTAAGTCATTGGCAAGTTTCAGCATTGGACTATATGACAATCTAACCCACATCCAAAAAGCCAGTGGATCTACCATTAGCCGAAAAAAGCACATACCAGGATGGGGTGCACCACCACAAGAAACTTTGTGGTGCCTCCAGCTTAGCATCTTATGTACCAATAACATGCAGTGTTATGGCCCACCAAAGCAACTAATAGTGTCAATTTTAGCTCTACATGATGAAGGAGCTGGCTAAGATAAGTGTTACTACACCAGTAGTAACATCAACCCCATGAGATGCTACCAAAAGCCGTGATACTTTCAAACGTCAGGATCTGCTTACAAGTGACACCACATAAGCTAATGAGAAATCATTGCTTTTCCCTCTTTTTATTAGCTTTATGATTAGAATACTAGAATCTAGAAGACCATTCTTTGCTACTGATCCACACTACGGAATGGGAGACCAAGGATGTCTCATGAAGTTCAAAGAATTCCAGGCTTGCAGAATCTTTATACCATTTTTCCATGTCTGCAAACTAAGCTGTTAAGGCTTATAACATCTCAAAACCTTCTTTTAAAAGAAAAAAAAAGGTAAAATCACAGAATATTGGATCAACAACAGAATGGTCAAATTCAATAAAGTACAGCCTCATTGCAGCAGCATCATCTTTCATGCTTTGACATGCCAAGAGTAGTATCCCTTGCAACATGGCCTTGGCTAGAAATGGTGGAAGAAAAAAAACATTCCTATGTTTCAATGGCCCCCCTGCTATGATATAGAGGAGTTGGAAATAAATAAATGCAAACCCTCAATCTGTCATAGAGAAACTGTCACACTACCAAGTCACTGTGTTGTATGCGATTGTACTGAACCTTTGGCATTTTACATTGTGTTATCTGATACTAAAAATGTCTCTATCTCCCCACCCCTGCCATCAAAAGCATTTATAGTTCTGTTGCTATAGAGATACTACTCAATTTGTTTACCAGCATTTTTGCATGCATTTGGTTTCCTCTTCCCTCTGCCAGTTTTTTTTTTAATCATGCACCAAACAGCTCAGCAAATCAGAGGCATTGTTATGCAATCTATGGAATGAAAATCTGTAGAAACACTAAAGGCGTCCTTGATAATATTCCCCCACCCACCCCAACACAGGCCAACAATATGCTGACATTTATCATCCCTTCGGCCAGCTGGCCACACTTTCAATCAACTTGGTGGAGCCTCATTCTTTCAGTTGCTTTGTGAGAATTGTCCATTTGTCAGTCCTAAAAAGCAGAACCTGTTAGAAGCAAACTCACAAAGCACTGAACCAAGAACCAGGGCTCAAGCTGAATGAAAAATGACCAACCTGTATGCAATATAGAATCAGGTATTAAACCCTTTTGCTACAAAGGTAAACTTAAGCAAAAACGTTCATATGAAAGTACAGTGATCCTCCTATATCTTATCATTAGTAAATGGTGAAATTATAATTAAGTATACTCTATAGCAGGGGTGTCAAACCCGCGTTGTCTTAGCGTCGTCAGGTGACATATCATGACTTTTCCCCCCTTTACTAAACTGGGCATGGGTGTGCCCAGCGCATGAATGCATCTGGCCCATGGCCCGCAAATTAGACACCCCTGCTCTATAGTCACCCCCTTTTTTTCTGTCAACATGCAATGCATCCTACAGGTTTGGTAAAGAACTGATTTGTGCCACACTCCAGTTTTTGCAGGGTCTGTAGAAATATTATTATATTCTGCAGCTGCAATCCACAAGGTTTTTGTGACAATCACCCAAAACGTAAGTTGAGGCTCTGCATTTACTGAACTGAATATAGCACATTAAGTGTCCTGTTCAATATGAGGGAACTGCTCATTTGAAGCACCATGGCCACAACAGAGCCTTTGCCTATGCTGATTTAAATGAGGAAAATATAGGGCTTTTTAGTTCTAAATATGCACTTGTTAATGTTATCATAGGTGTGACCTTAAGACATTGCTATTTTAATTCTCCTGGACTTAAGATTAAATATGCCACCATTTGCTTATTTTCCTTTCATACGTGCAGACAATATTGTAAGAAATATTCAGGGAGTTCAGGAATAAACTGCAGTACAAAACAAAAATTCAACGTCAGTTAATATAACTGAACAAGGGAGCATAAAATGATGGTAGAAATTTGATTGTGGCTATTTTTTCTGAACTATAAAGCATTAATGCCCTTTTAATTTATCGAGGAATTTTCACTTAGATATCATAAAGTACAGAAGTGGGCAAATAATACAATATGCCTGCATTGTCCAATTAGCTACTAATTACTAACTTCAACAGTATAATATTTTCATGTGTTTCAGGGATAAGCAGGAAGAGATGCTATTCCTTGATGACTAGTCTGCTTGACGATGGAGCTTTTCTTAACTTGGTGGTTCTCAAACTAGGATCCTGAAGCCCATTAGGGACTTGAGCTTCTGCCAGGAGAAATGGCAAAGAGATGTTTTAACCACTTTTCCACTGCAAAAACCTGCATTTGCCACAAAGGACCTTCCTTTTTGCCTCTGCAAACCTTACAGGAAAGAAAAGTTAAAGAAGGAACTAACAGCAAAACTATAAGGCTGAAAATATCGGTGGTGATGAAAGAGTTGGCACCAGACTGGCCCAGCAGTGCCATAATAACAAAAATAATGGAAGAAATCTGAAGTGGAGTCATATGACCACCAAGGTCATAAAGCACAATGAAAGAACACGTCAGACATCCTTATCAGGTGGAATTATCCTCAAAGGGTACACAAGTGCAAATTTCAACCATCTCCAATTCTTGCCTGGGTTAAGATGTCTAACTGTTACTTTTAGCGCAAAAAACCAATATTCTCAAACAACCTTAATACTGTTCAATAAATCATTATCTTAAACTAACTTACTATCTATGTGATTAGCTGACCTTATCTACATACCCTTTCTTATTCCTCCATCAGGCGGGCAGGGATATTCCCCGGTTGATAAGAGGAAGCAAGGTCCATATTTCTGCCGAGTGCCAGGACGGGTTAATGGTAGACCTTCCTCAGGCGACATAGCCTGGTCTATGTGGGGACAGTCTTCATTTGCCAGCGCCGCCTTGGCCACCTCCCCATTCAGTTTCGAATCTTCAAACATATAAGCAGAAGCCTATTGAAACACTAAGCATGCTTTTTTTGACATGAAATCTCTTAGCAGAGTTCCACGACTAGGTGGTAAGAGTATTGGGGGTGGGGGTGGGGAAAGAGGAAAATGAACACATTTGTCCTGGGTAGCTTGGTGAAGTGTGAGGCACTCTTGTTTAAAGGAAAAATGTTAATGGGGGGGGAAAAACAGAAAAAAGAGAATGTTAGCTTGCTAGAAACATGGCTCCTAACTTTGTGAGAAGCCTTTAATTAAAAATGTGAATATATCTAGTAGAATGGAAGCTGGCACCCACATGATCTGTTCCTCATCTAGCTGCCTAGAACTAGCAAGATTTTTTTGAGGCTGGCACTCACAATGATTCAGATTATGGTATTGGAGTAACTTCTGGTTTTGCTGTCTTACATTTTTCCCCCCAGTGTGAATTTTGAACAAAATTATCCATTTCCGTATATACCAGTGGTTCTCAACCTTCCCAATGCTGCGACCCTTTAATACAGTTCCTCACATTGTGGTGACCCCCCCAACCATAAAATTGGTGTCTCGGTTACTAAGACCATCGAAAATATGTGTTTTCTGATGGTCTTAGGCAACCCCTGTGAAAGGGTCGTTTGACCCCCAAAGGGGTCCCGACCCACAGGTTGAGAACCACTGGTATATACAAAACAGTGGCACTCATTTTACGCAGACACATGTAGCATGCAATGAAAATGTGATAGCAGAACATAGATTTTTTTTCACAGTAAAAATCCATGTGCTGAGAAGTTGACTGATGGTTCTTCCCCCCCACCCCTGCCTTGCCCCACATATTTCTATGACAGCAGAGAATACTGGGTATCTCCGGATAATCAAATGAGATTGAAAAACAAACATACATGACACATGATTAAAAATGGCTTGTAAACATGTTTCCATCTACATGTTTTTAAAGAGAACTGACTTTGTTTCCTCTGTGTGACTTGCTTCACAATCTCAAAGCAATTTAAAGTGCTCTTTTAAATTTTTACTAAAGTGCAAATTAGTATATTAAGAATATAGGTGAAATATGGCATAGTTCACTGTGGCCAAGAAGGAATCACCTTATGTAAAAGTAACTTTTTCAGAGGAACTGACACACTATAATTGCACCATTCAAATGTTCAGTTGCACAATGCTTATTACATAAAGATAGCCAGATAGACATAGAAGTGTCTCTACCCAGTTTTAGAGAAAGAGGAAATTGATGGAGCCTAATATATTATGTTCTTATGCCAGAAATTAATGCTCAAACTTGTCTAACACAGCCTATAGTTTCATTGATTCATAATGGGTAATTAGTAAAACCAATCTCCTCATTTATAAGAGACCATGTAACAAACACGTGTATTTATCAGTAAATAATTTGAAAACTTTGTGAGACTTAAATAATTTTAAGAGCATAACATTAGGATGTCTCAAACTGTGAGATGCGTAGCAAATAAATTTAATAATAATGGTAATAATAATGTTTCTTCCTAAGTTGATCTCCTTTCTTATTCCTGTTAGAAAACGTTAGGTAAGGATGCTCTGAATCTACCTCCTACCTTGTATAATAAATAGAATTGGTAGTAAGTAGAATTACTTTTGATTTTTACAATTCTGTAGTTTATACCTGCTGTACAGACTGTATAACTTATTTAGCAGTTAACTATTGTACATTTATCTTTACTGTTACCTGGAAGACATGATAGTACAGAAATAGCCTGGCATGTCATTATATTGTGCCTTACCAAATTAGTATACTGAGTTTGCACTATATCAATTATAGTTTCTCCTTGGCTTGTTTTTTAAAATTGAAGTCTGTTGGATCAAGCAGTTATAAATGGATAGTGCCAAGTCCCTGATTCGCCTTAACTTTACTATAACTGGATTCAAAACCTAATGACAACTGGCAATAGCACTAAGCTTGTAACATCTCCAGGGAATATCCAAGCAACCACTTTTTTAAATGCAAAACTTAATGTAAAAGCTAAAATTTCAGTGAGGTTGCTAATTCATTAGAGAGTATAATGTTCTTCAGAACTTTGTAAGATTTCAGGTCAGAATATTGAAATATCACGAGATCTTAGGTGCAAATGCTGAAATCTCCACAGATTTCATAGTGAGATTGCCAACATGCCATGAGGTTGGAGGAACTTGTGAAAATTTTATCATGTTAATTCTATTTTTCTTGTGATTTGTGTCATTGTGTAAAATTGTTTAATGGCATCTGCCACCTGAAAAAATTTGCCAATCCCAGACCTATGTTTTCTATGTTACCTGCTTGCAAATACAGATTGCTTCATTTTTTACTATATCATTCACATTTTTGTTACGATTTTCATCCAATCGAAAAGTAATACTTGGATTTTCAGATAGTTTGGATCTTTGTACGTGTTTTGCCATTCTTTAGAAGGAAATGGCAGTATTTTGTAAATTATCATGGAGAATTATATTTTTTCTCAAAAAGTATTTTTTAAGAAACACTTACTCTGAACTTCTACCACAGAATAGAGCAATTAAATCACAACAAATAAAAGGGGCTAAGACAAGGGAGCTTGTGGACATTTGGTAGGATATAAATAATTACATTTAATAAATAATATATGGTTTTTTAAAAAAATGATTAATTAAATCCTCCAGAAAAAGAGGAAAAATTGCATGAAGTAGCACTTTTATAAACTGGGTATTATGTGTCAGCATATGAACTATGCCAAGACAATTGAACTCTTAAACCATGTTTGATACTGGAAATTTCAGCCTCTTTTTAAAATGATTTAAGAAAATGATATCTGGACATCTCGTAAAATAACTTCATGATGCCCAACATTTATCTTCCACTCACTTGATTCTCACTTGAATTCCGAATTCAAGGAAGGAATCTAGACATTACATCAGAATCAACAATCAATGGCCTGTGTCCATTTTCCTTAATCCACAGTTCTCAATTTTCTGATTTAGCAACAATGGCTGCCTAACCCTGGAAATAAATAAGAAATGACCCTGAAAGAGCCAGAAATGCTCAAATATCAACCCTTGTTATATCCAGATGATTTTGGTGAGTGAAGCCTGAGTTTGAAAACTAATTAGTGAATCTGAGTTATATCAGTAGAGGAAAAATATAAAGGGCACTTATTATCTTCTTGATAAGGGATATTGTTATGTTTATCTTTGTATAATATTTGACTCATGTAATTCTTCAAAATATAATGGAGATCCAATTCAGGTTTATTGCTTTCTATTATATTTTGATTGCTTGTGTTTGCAAAGAGAAAATGAAAAAAAAAATCAAAAGCATGGCCCTATGCCTCTGCTTCTTTCCTCTTGCAAATTCTGTAAATACAAAATATAAGATATATTTTTTAAATGAAACCAAACTGAGCACTATATGCTCAATTGCAAAAGGTTTAACACATTAGGCCTGTGCTTTGAATTAGAGTCCCAAAAACATAGGGGAGTGAGAATGCTCCATCTTTTTGCATGCTTTAAAGCAGCTGCATGTTTTCTTCAGTTGCCTGGCAATAAAACACAAAGCATTGTACAGCTGTGTTAGAAAGCATAATGCTTCAAAACAACACAACATAAAAAATAATTCCTCTACTCTAAGAATACTTGTGTGACTTTTTTTTTTTAAAAAAAAACCCAAACAGCTATTGGGCAGCTACTTTTAATATCAGGACCACACTTCAAAACATAAAAATTGTTTGGTTTCCAAGTATCAATAGATGTGAGCATCATGAGGTCACCAGATGAAGAGGGACCAAAGCTCATGACCCTTTTGATTTGAGAGAAGAGTTGTTATGGAATGAAATGGATATCAAAACCTAAAAGGGAAGGAACATTTTAAGGGATAATCACTAGGATAACTGACAATTGGATGAGATTTGTCCCATCAGTTGAATGATTTCATCGGTGCATTTTCACTAATGAGCAATTGTAAACTCTATCAAGAGATTATTTGCACCATCACTGTGGTCACAAGTTATAAAGAATACTGACTGTTCTTTCTAAATCTGCATTTGTGATTTAGAATTCAGAAAAGCACTTTATTGAAGCCAGAAATGCAGATAATGCAATCTAAAATAAAAAATTCATCCAACACCTTAGGAGATGTGCCAAGAAAGCTTACAATATTTTAACTTAATATTAACAGAGTAATAAGCTACGTCAGTGTTTTTCAACCTTTTTTGTGCAAAGGCACACTTTTTTCATGAAAAAAATCACAAGGCACACCACCATTAGAAAATGTTAAAAAAAATTAACTCTGTGCCTATATTCAATATAGGTGGGTGTTTTTCCCACGGCACACCTTACACTATGTCACGGCACACTAGTGTGCCACGGCACAGTGGTTGAAAAACACTGAGCTACGTTATGCCTACTGTTTATTAGAAACTTGACATGATGAGATGGCTTGGTAACTTTAATATTATCAAAGAGTAGCACTGGTGGAGTTGGAGGGTCATCTCTGATGATAAGGAGATTAAGATGATCCGTGACAGGCATGAGGGAACATGGGGCCCTGCAGATGAGTTGAAAGCCAATCCACTTAGAAGAATGAATTCCAAAATCAAATCTGGTAGAAGACAATGGCAAACCACTTATGTACTAAAGCGAAGACAATTATATGAACATGGCTGAAAAGTGAAACAAATTTATACCAGATGATGAAAATCTCATGTCGGAAGGAAGTCCCTATAATTACCGGAAAGGAAGCAGAGGTGATGATATGACCAGACCAAAGCTGTAAGAGAGCCTGACCACTGATGATGCCTGTACTAAAAGAGGAGCTCCTCATCTTTCAAGGACATATACAATTTGGAAAACATAATGTGAGAAGTATGAACCAAGGAAAATTGAAATGGTGAAAAGAGAAACGAAGCCTACTAAATGGATGGTTTGGCATTTGTAAATTTAAATGGGACAGATTAGTTACTATAAATCAGATGACCATATGGTAAGTATTTCAGGCATGTAAAGAAAGGCA